GAAATAGAAGTTCTCATAACTGTTTTTCTTTTGTATTTGAGGAGTTACAAGTGACAACTGGTTTTGGTATACTTCATTCATCAGCAAATAATTACTGTAATCTGTAGGATCTTAACTTATAACTTTTAATAATCTCATAAGAGAGATCTTTGTAAGATCCAATCTGCACCAGGCTTTGCGTTTTCGCCTCCTTTTACACTTCATGCCCATGAACAAACAGACAAAAGCGATAAGCGATTTGCTTGCCATCACTTGACACAGTTAAAATCTTCCGGTTTACTTTTGCATGTGTGTGCTCTAGCTTGCACAGGTATACCTTTCCGGTTTATATGTGCAGGTGTACCGTAATGTGTGTGCCCTTTAGAGAGGAAGCTGTGGCTTCTGTATTTTCTGAATCTTCTTCAGCCTAAGTTGGGAGATGATCTATGTGAAGGGAAACACAGTATGACAAACATACAATATGTTTTAAGTGTTCATCATGTTTGTGTAATGTACTTTGTGACATTAAAAAAATAAAAGTATTCATCAATTGCCTAAAACATGAATGAACTTACAAGAGGTGTTTTCATGAAGTGTCTTGGTCAACTGAAAGAGAAAGTTAGTAACAAAGTTAATTAATTCAATTAAATTTGTCTTTCATTACATATTAACTGGTCAAAATAGTCAAAATGTTGGTATGTGTGTTACTTATTTCCTATTTCAAAGATATATTGTGTAATATTCGTATACCTCACTTGGTATTTGGCTTTACATTTAGAACTTGGTATACGGGGGTTAAATGTAAGTTTATTTGCTTACTAGTGCGAGAAAGGATTTTTAGCACTTGTTGCAGTTAAAACCAAGGCATATAACCTCCTCAGTGTGTTATTTGCTTCGAAGAATTGAGATCTGATGCCATGAAACCTGTCGTCTTGAATGACATTTGTCAACAAAATATGTTTCTGTTAAGAATAGACCCAAGGAATTTTTTTGCTACAAAGTGTAAAAATGTACAATGCATGAAGGTGGAAAGTACTGGATATGTTGCTCAGTCATCTGAGAAAGTGCTTGAAGCTTCATATGAGTTATCACTTTTTATTGCTAGGCAGACGAAAAGTAATATTATTGGAGAGGTGTTTATGAAATCATGCCTTTTGAAGACAGCTGATATTGTTCTCGGGGACTGACAAACAAATTATCTCAAATTCTACTTTCTGACAACAATGTGCAATGCTGCATTGATGATATGACCAAGACCAAAAAAATAAGTAGTTGATAGAATAAAACAATCACATTTCTTTGCAATACAATTGGGTGAGAGTGTAGACATTACACAGTGTTCTCAGTTAATAGTTTCTGTTTGCTAAGTATAGTCAAGTTAATGTTGTAGTGCAGATGACGCTCCTTCAATACGTGGTGCTTGCTAAGGTTTTGTGCAATTTGCAAGAGAGAAAAATTCTGCTGTGACTGCGATTCATTGTTTCATACACCGTGAAAACTTGGCGGCTATTATGCTTCCAAACAAACTTCATGATCTCTTAAAATTATGTATTAAAGAGGTTAATTACATCAAAAACAGCACTTTAAATTCTCAGTTTAATAAACCCTTCGCAAAGACTTAGGAACAGATCACAAAACACTTATTTCATATAGAAATATGCTGGCTGTCCAAAGGAAATATGTCAGTAAGGTTATTTGAGCTCTGAGATGAAGTCATTACCTTTTTGAATAATGAAAAACAAATGACTAAGCCTGGAATTTAAATAATCGTAGTGTTCAAGTAATGTTGGTGTTTTTGGGCTGATTTCTTTGACTTGATGAACAACTTGAACCTAAAATTGCAAGGCTGAGAGTCAAATATAGTTACACATTGCAATGCCATCAAGATTCTGTTTCCAAGTAAGATTTTGATAAAATGGACAAATCATCATTATTGGTTAAGTATTATGAAGTGTACCCTAGTGTATTTTAATAAGCACTGAAATTATATCTAGCATTTGCAAGCACCTATTTGTGCGAGAAAGGATTTTTAGCACTTGTTGCAGTTAAAACCAAGTATTGGGGAAACATGACGTTAATCATTTATGTTGTGCACTTTCTGATATTCAAAGAAGGATAAAGAATCTAAGAAACAAAAAATAAAAAAAATATGTAAGCTCATCCTTCTCACTGATTTTTTGTGTCCCTTACTTATTTAATTTAAATTACAACTTGAAATGTTCATTAGCCATAAATCTGATAGGCATAAATAGTACTGCATTTTCTTGACCTAACCTCAAAACAAACAACCTGACCTTTCTACAAGAAGTAAAAAGCTTTTACGAGTAACTTGTAATATTGTAAAGTGAAAAAAATTAAATGTTTTTTTTGTCAATACAACTCTTGTTTTATGCATTATCAAATAAAAATATGCAAGGAGGGTGTGGCAATTTTTTCTTTTGACAGATGGAGGGCATGGTAAACAGAGTTTGGGAACCTCCGGCGTAGCCTGTGTAATCTGTAATAACTCATGTGCAATTCCTCTTTAAGAATTTCATGTTCAACCAAGTTTCTGTAAAAACGATTTCATCATAAATAGTAGCACTTGCTAAAATACTGTCCCTCAACTGCAATAGTTTTGGTGTGTAATCCCCGCCTGTTTTGTTAATAACATCCCAATGATTACTGATATACCCCTTAATTAGTTTTTTCTCTTATGACACTCTTTTGGGCACTCCACCAATGAATTTTAGTGCAGTTTCGCCTTTGGTCTGACAGGTTTTCAGCTCCTCAATCAATCCCTTACGATGAGTTTGTTGCTGCTTGATAAGATCATTTTTATCTTATGTCTTGGGTTGCCCACTCTAGATTTGTTTCTCAAAACAAATAAAGCCTCATCTTCATGCCCAAAAGTAACCTTTAAGGGTGTAATTAACCTGTCATGAGTCTTTCCAAAATGATTGGCACCAACAGCTTTGAGAAAACAAGAATAACGCTAAAAATTGTCAGTGATAAGTTCAAGGTCATTCCATCCCTTGGTGTCTGAAGATCATAAACAGTGACATTCATGGTTCAGGCACCTCAGTAAAAGCTCCTCAAGTACACCGTCATCTGTATCAATAATGATTCTCTCAAGACTGGTCTCTTTTCAGGCCTTGAGACCCTGGCATCCAACCTATCTAATTTGAAGATGGTTGATAACACAGGCACACCCCAAAAAAAGTTGTCGAACCCGAAGACTTGACACAAGTATTACAATGTGCCATATCCAAAGGCTGAATTGCCCCACCACCCTCCAGTTATATTTTTAAATTGTTAAGAACAACCGTGAAATTGTAAATGGTAAGGTGGTGGTGCAATTCTTGTTTCGGAATCAGTGTGTCAACATTTGTAGAGAAACTTGTGTCAATTCTTTAGGTCTGACAACTTTTGTCTTCTGTAGAGTATAATTCTACAAGACATCAATCATATTTTTCTAGTGATTAGGAAAAGCTGGAGGGTGATGGCACAATTGTGGCCTCGGATTCGGCTCAACAATATAGAGAAACATGTGTCAATCTTTGGTCTTTGAAAACTTTTTGGATGTGTGTGGGCCTATGTAATTCAGATTTTAGATCAGCAATATCCTTCAGATCCTTTATCGGGATAGCTGATCAACACTTCCTCTGCTTGATAACACTTTATATCCCTCTGTTTCCCCTCTTTGTCTCTCCTCTCTGTCACTCACTCTCTCCCCCCTCTGTCACTCACTCTCTCCCCCCTCTGTCACTCACTCTCTCCTCCCTGTCACTCACTCTCTCTCCCCCTCTGCCACTCTCTCCCCCCTCGTCTCTCTCCCCCTCTGTCCCTTTCTCTCTATCTGTGACGTATGACAACACCCAGCAACAATGAAGCTCAGGTGGAGTTCTCAAATCTCAAAAGAATTCAATTAATTAGACAGCACAGAAACCAAATTGTGTTCTGTACTCACACAATTTTATCCAGTTGATTCAATTCATTTCAATTAATTGTATTCTCTTGGCCAGGCTCTTATTCCGTAGAGATCCATAATACATTCCACATCCTACGCAGATATAGAGGCAGATGAAGAAGGATGATGCCCATTAGCACTCATAAAAAACACACGAAACAGCACACCAACCATTACAATGTTACAACTGAGGAGCACAAATCACATGTGTATTCAGATGGATACCATTATGCGTGTTCCAAACACTGCACACCAAATGTCTATATTCTCTGGATGGAGGTTCTTCATGCACAATCTGTGGATTATCCTACAGCCAATATCTCCAATTCTGTGAGTTAAAGACCCAAGCACATGAAACTAATCCCTATCTGTTATGCGGAAGAGCATGCGGTCCTAATAACAATCGACAATCAAAGGTAAAAGCTAGTTGCAATAAGTATTCTGTTTATCTTTGTCAGGTTCTTTCAGTTCATGTACTGCAGTCACACGAAATGCTTAAGTATGGAACTCTTGAAGCACACAATATGTGGGATACTCAAACTCGTTATAATTTTCTTGTAGAATTGTTGGGGCTGGTCAGTATGTCATTGCAAACTCTGTTCACTACTTGACTGTTGAATACTTATTCTTCATTGCATTCCCAACGGATCCTGTAATCCTCCACTACTTGCATAGATCTTGAATGGGGCTTGGTGTGTGAGGCTTCATGCCAGGGAATTTTGTCCTAAATATTTCTTTAGTCTCTTTTATGGAACCTTGTATAAAATTGCAAACGGTTGTCAAAAATCAATCTGGTGTTCAATTGCAAACTGCATCATTTCTCACAACCTCAACTATAATTTTTAAACTGTCAAAATAAACACAACATTTACATATTGGTAATGGTCTGATAACTGGTAATGTCGCTCGAGGTAATGTTATATTTCAGTATAGCGAACTACAGTTGCCTGTTATGCTGTGATGCCATTTATTTATTAATGCAAGAATGGAAGTGAGGTTTACCTTTTCTTTTTGTGAAGTGTATTCAACCATTGAATAAATTTGACACTAAAGATGATGTTCAATTTTCTAGTTGGGAGAACACCAAACTGCTGATGGAACTGGTGGTTCTGTGAGAAAATTTCTATTAGAAAACAGCAGTGAAGGTAAGTTTTAACATTTGTTAAGTCATTAATAAAATTCCTAGAATTTTTCACGAATTGTTGTTTAAATGTAAATCATTTATTTTTTAAATATTTTTGTTGGAAATTGAATCACATTCTAATTGATCTTCGAAATTAAGTTGCTTGTTATCAAATATTCAAAGTGAACATTAAAATTGTAAATATCTTCAGTTACGGAGTGAATGGTGCTGCTAAATTACATTGCAGAATGTAATTCATTTTAGTGAAAAGTTATTTTAACATAGAACATTTTCTGGAAAAAGGAATTCTCAGAAGTTTGGTCTTGGCAGTCTTTGTGATTCTATCAGAATAATTAAGATAATAGCTCAGTGAATTATGTCAATTTAATTGAGATGGATGACATTAACAGAGAGATAACTAAAATCTTGTGTTCCATAGAAAGAGGTATACAACACACTTTCTTTACAAGTCCTACTAACCCAGTGCTGTGATCAAACATTGCTTTCGTTCTATCTGTTGCAATGCCAGAGCACTTCCAAAAACCTCTATATTTGAAAGTGACCATACCCAGGGCATTGAATATGTCAATCCCTTTGTTGCCCCCTTCCTTTAATTATACATTTTAATTCTGACAGTCCTTCATGAATTTCAGTTCTTCATTTATTGTTCTGACAAGGATAAGGAGCAGGCTGATGTCAGCTACATCTTGCTCTCATCTAGACCTAAAGAATAAAACAAAATGCTTTTAATGGTACCTGAAACTTCACTTGAGAAGAATTTACACCCACTTCTTTCTTCAACACATCAGACCATCTCTTCTGTTGTCCTTGTTTGCGCCAGCCGTATCTCGGAACCCAAAACATAGCATGTGACAATTTGGTGGGATCTTGACGGGCAACATGTCCGCCCCAGTGCCATTTTGAGTTCATGGACACTTATCTCCAAAGTCTTGTATTTTTTGATAGGTTGATTTCAAGGCCAACTTAGAACATTTATCACTGAGCTCTCTTAACATCTCGTATATCTCATGGGCAGAGGTAGCAAACATAACTACATCATCTGCAAATCGTAAATTTGTCAATTTCTGTCCGTTAATTTTTATTCCCTCTTTCTTAGACCGTGTTAGGTGTCTGAATACATATTTTAGTAGGCAAGTGAATAGTTTTGACGATAAAGGATCTCCTTTCCTGACACCTCGTCTTATTTCAAATGCCTTCCCTTCTTAGTCAGTTCTTACTTTTGCAGTACTGTTTGAGTATATTCTCTGCAAAATTCTTATGCACTTTTTTGGCACACCTTGTTTATCAAGTGAATTGAATAACGCTGTATATTCTACACAATTAAATGACTTACTAAAATTGACAAAGTTTCTATAGAGTTTTAAATTGAACTCTTGTATTTTTTCGATCTGGTTTAGTGTCAGTAAGTGGTCTATTGTACTAAAACCGGATCGGAATCCAACGTTTTCGTTTGGTTGTTCGTCAAGCGTCCTGGTTATTATTTTGGCGAAGAATTTATATACATAGATTGGACATTAGAGTGATAGGTCGATAATTATTTGTCATATTTTATGCCCTATTTGTGTGGTGCTTTCTGACCATTGATTTGGAGTCTCTTCTGCCTGCAGTATTTTATTAAATAATTTTGTTTTTTTTATGTGGCAGTGTATAAGGAATTCGTTTAAGATTCCATCGTCTCCTGACGAGCGTTTTGTTTTTTAGCTCTGAAATAGAGCATCTTACTTTCCTCTGAAGAATAGGCTCTACTCCATCCGGATCATTGTTTCTTTGAGTATAGTCAGTTTGAGGTTCGTCTTGTTTGCTATCGGAGAGTTCTCCGAAATATTGTGTTGCTAAGTCAGAGATTTCTCTTCTTTTCGTGATTTGGTTGTTGTTAATGGTGTTTTTGTTTCTGACTCCTAGTAATAAGTGCTTCTCTACGATAAGTTCCTTTTAGTTTTCCTTACCGACTTCGAGTATTGCATTATTGTATTTATCGTCTGTGTTTTGTATTTCTGTAAATTGTTCCTTATAGATCGCTTCACAAACATGTCTAAATTTTTATATTCAAAAGAGAATCTTGCTCGTGGATTCTGGTTTTTCATTTTGTCACGATAATTTAGTAATTTCATGGTGGAGTCGCTTAATTTGTTACTTTTTATATCCTTTCTTGGTGTAGCTCCCTTTTTCTGCGAGGTTTGTAAGCATTGGTCAAAATAATCTTACTCATTTTAGATTGTATTTGTGTCAGGAATTTGAGATTCTGAAGAGTTATTTTGTATCATGTTGTTCAATTCGGTACTAGGATCTTGTTTGAATTTTACTGTATCTATTTAATTGGTTATTCTTTCTTTCTTTTTTAACAACCATCTTTCTTCCTTCTAGTCGCGCCTTTGAATAAACCATCCTAATCAAAAAGCGCAGGTTTTTCAGAGCGGGCGATCAATTTAAAAACCCAATTACTACAAAAATACTCATATTCGAAAAATTCAACATTACCTTATTTGAAAATATGTTTTTGATAAACACATTTCATTTAGAAAAAAATGTATATTCATAATTGTAGGTGTCAAAAGACGCCTAAAAATTTTAATTTTTAAAAAATCAAGAGTTTTTAACCAACACATGGCCTGCACCATTATTGAAATTTTGTACGTCTTTACAACAAATGCCAAAATAACACTGTTTTGCTCCTTGGAGCCAATCTTCGTCGGTATAGTGCGGTGAAGTATAGAATGTAGGCTGCCGCGGCCGGAGTCAGTATTTACTAGGCTGTCCGGGTGACGCCGCGTCCATGGCGAAGGTGCCGACG